AATTGCAAACTTTGACGACCTGTCATTCATTAACAAATTCGAAACCGACAAAATGATGACTTAAACCCTTAAACCCCCCCTAATTTCACATGGACTACAACATATTTCGATGAGAGCAAAATCGGAGATAGTGACTTCCAAAAGTGATCGATTTGGCGTGGAATGACCCTATTGGCAAAAAGGAATCGAAGTTGAAAACACCCTTTTATCAATTTACTAACTGCGAGACTGACCGTTTTGACTAATGTTAGGGGTACCGAAAAGTAATCAAAATTTCGTTTGCTTTCGGAAAACATTTTTTTATTAAAGAAATCTTAAATGCTAATCAACAAAAAATTTCCATTATTTTCTAACGCGTTTTGTTAGCGTAAAGGCAATTGTTCGATTTCCTTCTTAAAAAAGTCCTTCAATTTTTCATTGAAAAACTTTGAAGTCATCGAAGAAATTTTGATTACTTTTCGGTACCCCTAATAGTATATTACAGTTCAAGAATTCGCGAGTACCAGTATCTGCTATGATCGATTGGATTGGGTCTTCTTACGCAGTGATTACAGTAGAAAAGAAATAGACTCGATTAGATTATATATAAAAAAACATCTTACACTACTGCTTTACCAAAATCAATTTAGATAATATAATACATTTCCTACATTATACATGCATTAGCCAACAAAAATATGATACAGTAGTTCGAAATCATTATAATCTATATGTTTCCAACAAAATTAAAGGAGTGCTACATTACTTAGGTAATGTATACACTGCCTCCATTTTGAATTTTACTTATAATATGTACAGAAATGAACTATTGTTTAAAATAAGGCAACACAATAAAAGTCCAATTATTATGCCACCGATCCTGTTTAAATTTATGCAGTTTTTCTCGAAATCTTCTTTCCAACATATGTTGAGCATTGTTATTAGGAAAATTTTCAAACCACATTTTTAATTGTGCTGTTAATTCTTTATCACTTGAAAAAGTCATTCCGTTCTGCCCATGTTTAACAAGTTCTGATAAGCTGAAAAATAAAACCCATGTATAAAGAAAATGAAAATAAATAATATAAGCTTAAATTCGTTAAAAAAGTTAATACTGCCTTATTATTTGAACAAAAATAAATAATATAAAAAAATTTTGTTTACGGGGACACATTTTGTTTAAAATTTTATTAGGGTTGAATTACCTACAAAATGTGTATTCCTCGTATACTAAAGAAACAGAAATTAATCATAACTGCATAGAAATCAGTTCCTTTTTCAGAAAAATAAATACGGTGTTGTGTAAAAGTTTTAGGCCAGCCTTTAAAACAGAATAACATTTTTAATATTAATCCAAATGACTTTTTGCAACAAAAAATTCCTATTCTAGATTTAACTTAGTCATACACACTGCTCAAAAGAAATATGGCATAGAAAAATTTTAGGCAAAAATTGGCCAAATTTGCTTGATGATAACTCCGTGAAAAATCATCGCAAAGTTATGCTCTTATTTTTTACTATCGGTTTTCTGTCCAAGTTAACCCCTTAACCTACGATTTACGCTCGAGAATTTTGGGCCGGAAACGTAATGTTTATGTTTGACTCGTTCATTTTATACGGGCTATGCCCGTAATATTTACTTCTGGCCCAACCATCGTACGCGGGCTATGCCCGTCATTGTAGGTTAAGGGGTTAATAGCGTAAAATGGAGGCCGAGCTCAAAAAACTTATTGGTGATCGTGGCATGGTCAAGGCCGCTCTGACTCGATTGAGTAGAAATAACACCGTAAATGTGAGGTCATGTTTGCAATATTGAAAATTACAAAGTTTAACGAAATGCATGGATTTGTCACATTTTTTTTGGTGATACTGTTTACAACAGCATAAAGTGCAAACCTTCATCTTTAATTTCCAATACGTGAGAAACCACTACCATTTTTTTCCGCAAAGATACAGAACTTTAAAGAAACCTTTGCATTTATGGCATATACCGCCGGCATAAGCATTACCCGATATGCACCTTGGAGAGGTTGCTGGACAGATTTTGCACATTATATGGCTCTGACAAGAACCTTTTTTTGTGTGTATTTGTGTGTTAGTATCTGTGTTTGCATGTTTGAATTCTAATAACGCGTGTTTTCTCCGCGTTGTTGAATTACCCCTTGCAAGCGATTACACTGTACAACAGCCAACTGATTTCGTAACGGCTACTATGAAATTCTTATAGATTTTTGCGAGCTGAATACGAATCTGAAATCAGTTTTTCTCTAGGACGTACAGTTTTTGAGAAAATTAACTTTAAAAGAAATTGCAAATTTTCAACTTTGGAAATTTGTTGTGCTTTTACCGCAGCAGCTATTCAGTGGCTTTTTACACGAGAAGAATCTGTGAATTTTCCTGAATAAAACTATATGAATTGTTATTACATTGTAAATATTTAAATATGTTTAAATGATGATCAAAGTAAGAAAGACACCAAAAACGCACCAATTTTTCCTGATATTTTTCAATTTATTTAAAAAACTATGGGTCTAGGCGAAAATCTAACCATCCCACATGATAGAGTAGACATTTCTGCAGAAGAAAGCATCAAGCGAA